TATATATATATATATACCAAGTGAAGTGTTCTGTAATTTGGGACAGGGAGAACATACTTGAGGGAAAGAATGGGCAGTGATCTGATGAATTAATATATATATATATATATATATATATATATATATATATATATATATATATGCCAAGTCAACCTCCAGATGGACTGAGCTCTCCTGTAAATGACTCATACATTTCAGAGACATATAAAAACAAACCAATTATGCACCAGATGTAGAGAGCAATGTGTACAGATCATAGAACATAGCCTATATTTAATGAAAGAAACAAAATAAGGTCTTATCACCTTACCATTGATGTCAACTAATAATATATACATTTTAAGTTTATACACATATTTTACTAGGTCATGCAAACAAATATCCATCAAATATATTAGAACACAGCAGGGAAGGGAATTGGAGTAGGAAATAGGGAGAAAGGATAATTAATGAAAAATTAATCCAAATCAATCAATCAAAACAGGCTTATCCAGAGCACAGGCAGCATGCTATGATTTGAGGAATATGATTCATTCCTTTGCACGAGGGTCCAAATAAAACAAAAAACTAAGATGGCCATAAAATTACAACCCAAAAAACATACTTGACATGGTGGTAGATAAATAAGGGAGTAGGTTCATTTAGCCAACCTACTATTTGAATGTTTTTTGGAAAAAATACTCATTGTTTTTGCTGGTAGAATAACACAAACACAAAATGATTTAATGTGGTAGTGTTCTTAATTATATTCATGCAATGTGATCTCCTCATATGTTAGAACTAAGAAATCTCAAAAGCCAAATCTCAAAAAAAAAAAAAAAAAAGCCAATCTCAAAGCCAAATGGAGAATGACATTCCTCTTCCAAAGGTCATTGAGAGACACGTGCAGGAATGAGTATACCCACTTGCATAAATACACACATGCATAGCATACTTGGTGATACTGAGAACATATCTATATTAAACCACTAAATAAGGAAGAGAAATACAGTCCTGTTTGTTAGCATGTCATGGCTTCAAAGCCATATCATTTTCAGTAGAACAGATGAGGTATACAAATACAGTTTTTACTTCAGTATTATCTTCTCAAATAAATCTAGGAAATCTACCACTTTATATAATGTACCTGTAAATAAATATAAACAGGTACTTAATAAAATTTTATTTTGAAAAAGGAACAAAGGAAAAAGCACAATAAGTATTTGAGAAACTGAAATAAAATGAGAAGGTAAATGACAGGTCTTAGTTCTAGAGAGACCTTAGCAATTAACATGCCTGATCTTCCAGTTTATTGATCTAGACAGAAAAAAAGAACAGTGGACTTCTGCTGCCATGTGAATGGGTCAAAGTTAATTAACAGGAAGTGGGGCAGAGCTGAGCTTCCAAATAGCCCCATACGGGATTCTGGGAGCCTCCCTCATGTAGCTCTGCTTCCATCAGTGATTCTAGACCCCCAACTTCCCATGCTTTCTATAGAACAGAGGGAAAGCAACCCTAGGTAGGTGTTTAAGAATGTGTAGTTGAACTACTCCTAAACAGAATCAACCGTCTACTGGCATAAGACTGATTCCCACTTCAAATCCCGGTTTAAATATCAAGATTTAAAGACTCTTTGACCAGCGTTTAATCAGAGGTATTTATCGATATGAGAGAACAAGGTGTCTGGAGCAATTCAAGGCTCAGGTAAACCTAAGTGTAGTGTGAATAGCCTGAAATTACCCCACTTTAGGGAAGTTAGAAACCTCCCCTTTCCAGCGCCTGTAAATTGCTACAGGTGGGCACCCCACCTGTCTGTTTTCAGTGTACGACGGACACACAGGCCTACACCAGGCCCTCCTGCTGCAGGGGCCAGGGTAAGACCTGGGAATGCGTCTGTTGTACAATTAAGAGAAAAATCACCTCGTGATTTTCACCACCTCTGTTCCTGCCTTGGACTCTCCTGAAACTGTACTTGATGCTGAAATAACGTGTTTATTCCACCTGTGTTTAAATTTGAGTAACTTCGCCAAATCTCAACTCTTGCTCATTTCATAGAACGAGAAGGTGTAACATAAACTCCGTCCAAGACAAGAGAAGAAAACTATCTTATGATAAATATAGTGTCAGTTTACACATGTGTTTAAGATAGCTCAGAACATTTTACATGGCTATCATCCCTTTAAGCTAGGTTTTCAGTTTCCCCAAAAGCAATAATTTACTCTCTTTCGCCATCAGGAGTATTTCACTGTGAGAGTTCAAGAGGTACAGGTGTAGAGGAAAGTAAAGAACCAGCACCCTGACTCTGGTGTCCTTACACATGGGATTGGTTTCCCCCTTACGTGCTGCGTGTGGGCCAGGCAGGACACTTACCCTTCATTGCACGGACTAAGCTTTTAACACTTGATATTTTATATGCCACTTAATCTGTAAGTTTCTATACAAATACGAGGTCTGCATAAGTTGTATTTCTTATTTATGGTTTAAGTCATGCAAATGATACTGAAACCCTGGGAAAATACTAGCACTTCAAAAAAGACGATCTCTTTGTCACACTAAATGTCTCTCCCTTCTTTTGTTAATATTTTAAAAGAAATGAGACCAGTGGAGCAATACAGTTCTCTGTAGTATCACAGAATGGCAAAAACTAAGGGTGAGTTAGAGGTAACGTTGTAAGGAGATAAGAGGGATGACACAGACTATACTTAAGCCCTTGAGAAAAAGCAAGAATGATGTCAGGAGCTACAAAGAACAGATTCCTTCCCGACAGCTGCTAGAGAGGTCAAGCCTAAGATGTAACAAGCCAGCCCTGCACAGATGTGCGGCTTTGGCAACCCGAAGAATTTTCTAGGCTACAGTCCCCTATCAAAATGTAAAAAGCTGGAGCTGTCCATTTTGGGGGAATGGACAAACACTAGGGAATCTACAGGGTCAATAAAGTAGAGGTCACAGATGCTAAACTCAAAAACCACTAACACTATGCAACAGGAAGTATTTCAGGATGGTAAAAAGCCATTTTGATAATATAGAAGTACAGTGGCGAATGTCAACTTTATTTATGTATTCTTTGACACATCCAAATGTGTCAAAGCTGAATTAATTATCAAAAAAGAAGAACACTCCTAAGTGTTCTCATCCTCCCAAAGGCAATAGCCCATTACTGGCCCAAGTGAAGTTGCTATTCCTACAGAAACCTCATGGAGAGATAGTGAAACAAAGTTGATCAACTAAGTCTTGAGATAAGGACCCTGCGAATGGTTCTAAACATATGATCTGCATTACAGTTAGGCTTAGACAAAATTATTCTTATCTGATTTTTGTCTTAACTTTTTCCAACTCTTGACATTCAAATTTGACATTGCTCCAAAAAAATTAACGTGCTAATAGCAGTTTTTTGAAATAGAGACAGCTACAGAGATTATACATGAACATTTATCTCCCATTATTGTAACATAAGTATAGTTTTAATAAAAAGGTTGGAAAGAATCTCTATTTAAATTAAATTAAGAAAGAGAAAAATTTACTTTTTTCTGAGAAAGCAAATTAATATTCCTTGATTTCCTTCTACTTTGGGATGAAGGTTTGCTATGAAAACTTGCAATAAACCTTTGGAATCAACTACCCTAGAGAGTAACACTGGTGGGTCTTTAATGATCCGTTGTTACTGTTTCGTCAGCATTTAAGAATGACAGCGCAGCCCCTCGGCACAGACTCTTTGGCCACTGCTCACGCTCTTTGTGGGTCAGCTGTGTCCTAGGAAGACGAGCTGAGCTCCCAGCTGCCACCGACATTCCTAAGTTCTGTGACCCTTGGATGATCTGGAGCTCCACCTTCCTCAGTGTGAAACTCGGGTGCTCAGTATACCTGTCTTTTTCACTCTGACTGTTCAGCTTCCAGATAACGTTTGTTATGCATTTGATGTTATGAACTCCCCAAGAATCTGTAGCCCATTAGCAGCAACCTCTAAACAACAGATTCTTTAAGGATCTTACCAAGTTTCTATTGTGCTAGGGCAAAGTAGGGGAACAGGAAGGAAAGATAGACAAACACTACTTACTTTTCAAAGAAATGTCTGATAATCAGCAAGCCCAGAGCATATGGAATTGTCATATATAAATGAGAGGGCTTTACAAAGACGAGTCCATCGTGATCTTCAAGATCTGACCATTTTATTGTTGGAGGAAGCCAGAATCTTTCCAACCAAAACCATTCTTTAAATGTCTGAAACATTCTAGAGAGATGGAAAAAGAACACATTAGACTTGTAAAACAAATAGTTAAAATCAAGACAACACTGAGAACCTTGACTTAGCTTACCCAAACAGGAGAGTTTTGAATGAAAGCTGGAAAAGGACAGAAAATTAAGGACAATTTGATGCGATAGTTTTACGACTCTTCACTGCATTAAACAGGATTTTCCAGCAAGCATGTGTTCTCAGTGCAACTTTGGTTAGAACATGTAAACAAGTAAAATACATTGCCCTTCACACTTTCAGCAGAACATACATCAACATCATGGACACATGTCTTATATGAGTCTATGGTAAAAAATAATAATAATAATAATAATAATTGAGCAGTAATCTCAACTTCAGTAGGCCAAAGGTAAATCTTATGAAAACTCCAAATCACGTATAAGTCTTCACCAGTGCAACTGAACCCTGGTGAGATCCTTCTCCGTTCCATCTACACAAACTCATCCAAAGCAGCATGAACCTTGGAGGCAGGGTGCCTTCGCTGTCATGGATTAATTGTTTCACTGTAGGTTATTCTCCCCCAGGCTGGGGGGCAAATTCCATATGGTGGAGTAAAGATAATCAAAAAAGTGTTACCAAATGCTTCCTGTCTACCAGGATTTGGGACTACAGAATGGGGGGTGGGGGAAACTCCAGACTTCAGAAGCTCACGAATGAGTCAGGACTGACGCGGATCTGGACTTGGGAGGAGGCCACGAGAGCTGATGACAAGGCTGTCAGGACGGATGACTATAATTTGGAAGATAAGGTTTGGCAGGATGTGGAGAAACTGAAACCCTCGTACACTGAGGGAAGAGAGTAAAATGGTGCTGCCTCTGCCGAACAGGGAGCCCCAGGGACCCCGCCCAGGGCAGGGAGGCGCAGCACTGTGGGGGGCCTCTGTGGCGCACCCTACATGAGAGGGGCCTGGCCCCACCCCACGGTGCACAGGTCTGGGGCAAAGTGTCCGCAGCCCACACATCTACAGAGACAGAAAGTGAGCAGTGCCTTGGGGCTGGGGGGCACGCGAGGGAAGTGGGGTGACGACTAACAGGAGCAGGGTTTCCTTGTGGGGTGATGAAAATATTCACGCATTTGAATGCAGTGCTGGCTGCACAATTTTGTGGGTGAACTGCCCACTTCAAATGGGGGGGGGGCGTGTGGGATGTATAGAGCTCACAAGGCAACAAAAACAAGAGTTGGAGAGCGTCCTTCTTGGCTTCACCCTCCTTTAACTTTTCCACCTTACATCCGTGGCTCATAGTGAACCCCATGCTGAAGCTTCTGGTCACTGTATTTATGAGACTTAAGACCCAAATTCACCTGAGTCACGCTGGTGCCCGTGAGCCCAAGCCAGTAAACACATGAAGGAGAGAGCATCTCCAGATTCAGCCTGCAGCATGATTTTAAAGTTCATGATTTTGGCCGGGGGATGGGGAGGGTGCCGGGGGAGCACGTGCCATAAAAAACAACCCTCGACTCATTTCCCTGCAGGAAAAGTGGATCCCCCAAAAGGCGCCCCACTGACGGCCATGAGCCCAGCCCTGTCTGTGCCTCTCTGCCATCTCTTTACTTCTCTCAAGACGAGACCAAGGGCTCGTGGAGGAAGGAGGCAGAGAGGATGGGAATTGGCATCTCTACTCCTGTGGGCCAGCAACAGGGTGGTTCTCAGCCCCCTGCAGCTGTTTCTGGCCGCCCCGTGGTGCCAACCTGCAGCACCCTTCACGGCGCCTGACCCTGAGCCTAGGGGGCTGGCCGTGCTGTTTTGGAGGTGAACCCCCTCGGGCCCCAAGGTGGGGGAAGGGGCCCCTGCACAGGGCGCACTGTGAAGGCCAGGGCCGCCCCCACCTGCTGGCATGGGTGTGGCTCAGCGCGCTGGCGCTTGCCTGGGGACTCAGCCTCTGGGCGCCCGCCCGTGACACCCAGGGCAGCAGGACCGAGAGGCTGCTGCTGAAGACAGCACCCCGCTGCGCTGCGCTGGGCCTGGCTCCTGTCTTCAGAGTGGTGACACCTCCCAGTGGAGTCCCTTGTGTAAGGTAATAAACAAAAGAGGTGCATGCTGTGGGCTCCACGCGAGCGCCCCCGAAGGTAACTAGGGGCAGCAGCCACGAGGGCGCCCCCCCCCCCACGGGCACCGGGGCCCACCATCTCCTTCCCTTTCTCTCGCTTCCATTTTCTGTTCCTTTGCTAAGTTTCAAATGTGACACTGTCAGTCAGAGTCACTGCTCGAGGAATTTGGGGTTTTCCTGCTCCCTGTGGAAGCGGCCGCGGGCCCCGTCACAGTTCTCGCGCGATGCTCACAGCCCGAAGCCCCAGACCTGCGAGCGAGGTGGAGCTTCCCACTCTGGCCCCGGCTGGGGCTTGCGACGCTTCAACCATACCCGCCGGAAAGAGGGCTGAAAACACTGTGGCAGAGCGATAACCTGCAGTTGTAACACACAAGTCATTAAAAAAAAATTGTTAAACATCTTGAGCATTTGCAACAATAAATGTCTCATTCAGGGGCTCTGCCTGTGTCTCAAGCCTGGAAATCCCATTAGCCGCCGTACCCACGTCCCATAGTTCGTCATTTAGTGCAAAGTTCACTGTGCATCATAATAAATAAAAAAAACAAAATTGACAGGCAACTATCAATCAGAGACATTCACAGAGGAGGGAGATAACGGAACAGCACAGGGCCACAGCAGTGGCTGAGGTGTGACTGGCGGTGGGAGTTTCACGGGAGACCCCTGAGAGGGGAAAGCAAACATGAGTTTGCGTGAGTTGTGCAAACATGAGCAATGATATAACACAGATACAAATAGATAAATTTAAAGAAAGAAAAAAGGGCCCTCCCCGGTTGTGACGCAGCACTGCAAGCTGGCCGCAGCCACTGCAGCACGAGTTCCATCCCCGCCCCGGGGGTGACCACAGGGCGCGGCAGACCTCTCCTGACCCGCCCGCTGCTCCCCTCAGCAGTGGACTTTGTCAGTCTGCCTGTTCTGCTCCCCGCTCTGTCTCGGGTGGGTCCTCTTACCGCCCCTGCACCTCTGGCCTGTACCCCAGCTCTGTATGCATCAGTAAATAAATCTCAGAAAAACTAACTGCCCACTGTCCATAACCCTCAGCCTCTGGTATTCTCAGGGCAGCAAATGCCTTTGTTCACGCCTCGGTTGTTCCCAGTCCCTTGTGTTTGGCTCAGCTACTCAGCGTCTCCTTCCCCTCCCTGTACACTCTCTAAGTCATGTTATCCCTATTTGGTATAAAAGTATCTGAATGAACTGCTATTTTTATTGGTATAAAAACATCTGAAGTCATTTTTTAAAATAATAAATATTTGTAAGAAAAATGCTTGCACTTATTTCTTTTTCCTTTGGAGCTGCCCAGCAGTGCAGGTGGCATCGCAGCCCAGCTGCTTTCCCACCCACGAAAGCTGTGGCTTCGTAAGTCCCAGCTTCAACCGCAGCTGCCAGCAGTTTGCAGGAAAGACTATTTAATGTAGGTTTTTCTGACTCACTTTCTGTTCTCATGGACACGGAACCCAACAGCGAGATGGGAATCTGATGAACTACCTTTTCAGGTGAACAGGACTAACGTGGACCTTGGGACAGGAATAAAAACCATCTGCGCTAGACACTCATCACTATTGGAAGCAGCATTTTTGCCATGTAATTAAAAAACATGGCGCTCAAACTTTTCTGCAGGTAAGAACGCCGAGTCTAATGAGTTTTGGATAGTAGCGGCTGGACGGATAATTCCCATTCAACGTCAACACCACATTAGCTTAGAAGAGAACTCTACAGCAGTTATCTCAGAGAGAGTGACAAGGAAACATCTCTACAGACTAGAAAATAACTCTTAGATAGAGGACAGTGAAGAAATGAGAAGTTACGTGGAAGTCAAGTTTAGTAAAGGTGTTTTACTAGCAATAAGGTGAAAGACTCGTAAATCACTGCTCACACAAATGTTCGTTGAGTAATACGGTTGGGAGCACATTGCTGAGGGAAGCAGTGAGTGAGACAGGAGAGGTCTGCCGCGCCATGTGGGTCAGCTCCCTGGCCGGGGATCAAACTCGGGCCCCCGTGGCTGCTGATAGCCTTTTTATCGTGCTGTGCTTTAAGCCGTTTTGCCACCAGGGAGAACCCTCCTGTGTACTTTTTAAAAAAGTTTTAAATCTCCTTGTAAGTTAATGATTCTCTACTTTGACACTGGTGACCAGTTACCTGAGGAGGGGTCCACAGTTTTTCAGGAAAGTCAGCTCAGAATGCCAGGCCTTGCAGGCCCAGCTCACTAGCCGTCCACCCAAAACTTGCTACTCAGGAGGTGGCTGAGCAGAGAAAGGCCTTCTGGGGCTGGAATGAACCTTGAACACTCAAGCAATGATCCCATGGCCAAAAATGATATCTGATTTAATGATCTACAAATTCATTTTATGGACTGCAAAACAATTTCTAGTATTTGGTGCAGAGGGTCAGGTCAATGCGTTCATGTACATTTAATCTGTTTGTGTTTTCTTTGGAACTATCTCCACTAACTCAGCCAAAAAAAACTGGTTAGGCCTTTAAGATAAAACAAAGAGGAAATCATTAGTAGCTACTTGCCTCGTATGAACGTGTAAGCACGGGGCCAACTGAAAATTCCAACCTAAAAGCATTAAAATTATGCCATTTCGAATGGATATGACGATATAAATGATGGAGCAACTTAATCTGGTAATCCTACCAGATTAATCCTTACAGCAAACGACTAAGCCAGTGCTCAGAAAGCTGTGAATGCCTGGCTTCTAGTTGTAAGAAAACTCAAAAGAAAATGGAAATGGAAAAAGCCCCTACACTTTATGTAGAGAGTCATTAACTTACAAGGAGATTTAAAACTTTAAAAAAAAGTCCCTGGTGGGCACAATGGGTCAAAGCACAGCACTATAAAGCTATCAGCAGCCATGGCAGCATGAGTTTGGTCCCTGACCAGGGAGTGACCCACATGGCGCAGCAGACCTCTCCTGTCTCACCCACTGCTC